CAGGCAAATTATTGCTCCATTTTATGGGCAGAATCCAGCCTTGCCCGGGGCAGAGGAGGGGCTGGCACACACTGCCTCTGTGCCCACCTCCTTCTTTGCTCGCTTTTCTGTTGGAGAAGCAACCTTTCTTTTCTTGCCAGGGATGAAATCCCGGGGTCTCTAAGCTCCCTGGCACTGCACGTGTGTCCCAAACACCAAGACAAGACCCCAGGACCATCCCAGCATTTCCCAAACCCACCCAACCTGTTAAAACCAGAGATGGATGTATCCGCCCGCCGCTCAGCCCCATTCCCCAAACACCGCCCGGGACGGCACCTTTCATTCTGAGCAGATAAACAGCGAGAACAAGGAGAGCAACCACCGCAACCAGGACCACGCCCAGGGCGGTCATCCAAGGATGGGCATTTTGGAAAAAGGGATCTGAAAAATAAAATTCCTGAAGGCGTTGGGTTACTCTGCAAGCAGCAATGGGAAGAAAATTATTTCTATTTCATGCAATCTCATCCCCAGCAGGTCTGAATGTCATTGACGGTGAAAATCAGTTCCTGAGCATACTCCACAAACTGACAAAAAAAAAAAAAATTAAAACCAATCCATTGTGGCAATTTAGCACTTGTCTGAGGCTGATGATGTTTTGACTGCAGACATTGTGGGGGGTTTTTAAAGGGAAAATGGGTTTCTAACCAAATTATTCCTAGTTAAATCGTGCTTTCTTCTCCTTTGGGAAAAAAAAAAATGTATTTCATTAGGCAACACAGGATCAGAAACAAGGTAAAGTGCATCATCAGCAACACTCCAGTGCAGAGCAGTGTCACCAGGAGACAGGTACAGGACCCCCCAGGGAAATTAAGTCTCCCAAAATTGTTCATCCCCAAATAAAAAAAGAACAGGACTGAAAAGTATGTGATACTGCCGTGCAGTTTGGTGCATGGTTAGTCCAGGTCATTGCACCTCTGTTCTGATATATTCCCCACTCCAAATCAATCTTTCGGTAAAAAAATGATCTTTTCTGTGTGACAAGGAAAAACTAAAAATATATTCTGTATAAGCAGATGCTAAAACAAGTCACTACAATTTATTTCTCATTCCAAACCAGTAGAACAGGATCTCATAGCAGGTGAAGCTAAGGGCATGGGCTGGTTTCTCCTTTTTGGGTTGGTTCCAGTGTCGGTGTTTAACCCAGGCGTCTATAGAAACTCTGCTACAAGGAGGGTTGTCTTTTCCCCCCCAAACGCACACTCAGAGACAGAACTGGTGAATTTTGGCAGCACACCTGCACAACCACTGTTGGAACCTGCAGCTGCTTGCGCACGCAGCGTGCAAAACACACTCAGCACACAGCCTGCAGAATGCTCCGGGGGTTCTCTGCCGGTGGTGCTTTCCCAGCGCGGCTCCACCGGGAATGTCACCAGGGCAATGCCCTTGTCCTCTGCTCACCTGCGATGTGAAAAGAAGCTGATCCCTGATTTTGGCTGTGCAGGGCATCTCAGACCAAGCAGGAGAGCCTCTGGTTCGTGCCCCTGGTGAGGATGATGCTGCTTTCCGCTGCAAAGAGTCCACTCTCCTCCTGGGTGACGCTTTCAGAAACGGATGGGAGATGATGTCCGTGGGGATCTTGCCACAGCACCTGGGGCTGGGGGTACCAGCCGGCCGAGCGACAGGCCACCCGGATCCCCCCGTCCTGGTAGTGCTCCAGGGTGATGAGTGGGACAGAGCCGCTGGCTGTGGGAAAACAGAGACCCCTGGGTGATCCTGTGGGATGCTGGGAATCGGGGGAATGAGGTGGCCTGGCTGTTCCGCCCCCTGACAAGGAAGGATGGACTTCGACATAGATAAATCCCAGGGGTTGAAGACAAGTGTCAACTGGAGTCAGGACATCTCTCACAGTCTTTTTCACTTAATTCAAAGAACTTGTGAGCACCCCCCTGCAGCGCTGCCCCCAGCTCTGGGGTCCTCAGCACAGGACAGACACGGAGCTGCTGGAGCGGGGCCAGAGGAGCC